TTACGAAAATAACTGAATTTTTGTGAACAATTTTTGTTATTTATAAAAATAATTGAATTGTTAGCAAGAATTTATTAATAGATTCTGCAAAAGAATTTAAATTTTCTTTGCAAGAATTGAATTTGTATTTTTACAAATTTCATTATTTTCAATAAATAATAAAATGCTTCGCAGGAATTTAATTATTTTTAACACGATATTAATGAAAATTTCTAGAAAGAATTGAATTATTTTTAAAAAATTTAATAAAATTTGTTTATTAGAATTGAATTATTTTAAATACATTTTTTATTTTTCTTGAGAGAATTCAATTATTTTGAAAAATTTTACGAAAACAGTCTTTAAAAGAATTCGATTATTTTCTAAAATTTTGACTAAATTTGTAAATTAAATTATGATTTTTAATTTTATGTTTTATATATTTGTGTCAATATTGTTGCGCTATCTTTGAAAAACTCTAAAATCAAAAATCGAGAGTAAAATCGAATTAAAGAGAAAAATTTCATAGGAAAAATGAAAATGAAAAAATATATACTTGAGTGGGAAATATTTTTTCATTGGTCAACGTTGTCGACTGCAACTTGGGTGGAAAATTAAAATCGAAATAAGGAATCAAAGTAGAAAGTAAGATTCAAAAACAAAATAGAAAGCAAGATCTAAAGATAAGAACCAAACATCGAAAGTAAAATCAAATTTAAGAAAAATTTCAGAGAAAAAATCCCAATAAAAAAATAAATCAAAAGAAAATAAAAAAGAAATAAATAAAATACATAAAATTAAATCAAAATTCAAAAAAATCACTAAAAGAGTAAAATGAATTGCAAAAATCGCCCCTCAAGAAATCAACGATATTTCGAAATAAATAAATTGTAGCTGTAGAAAATGAAAATAAAATCCAGTGGGGAAAAAGTAACGATCCATTTGATTCGCAGATCAATAAATCGGGACATTATCATTGGAAGGCAAAGAAAGGCAAAGAAAATATAGTCACGATGAAAAACAAGCTAAGCATCCGGTATCAAGAGCTGATTAAGATTCGAAAGCGAAGTTTAAACTCGACGTCTTAGACTCTTAGAGAGTAGTGGAGTATAATTTGGAAGGTATTTGCTCGGAAGATCAAAGGCAATCGCATAGAGTGGCCTAGTCACGTTCTCTTGATCTACTCGTTTATAATAGAGCCCGATTTCTTCGCCTCTGGCAAGCCTTTGCTTTGCCTTTGCTAGAGAACAAGAATCTAAGCTTGCTTTATATTTATACATATACAAAATACAAAATACAGCCAGAGAAGCAGATACCATCAGCAAGCTTTGAAAACCAGGGTAAATCATTTCCTGAGAACAAACTAGTTAGGGACGTAGATTAGTTAATCCTCTCAAAGATTCAAAAAAAAAAAAAAAAAAAAAAAAAAAAAAAAAAAAAAAAAATGAGAAGGATCTGCATCAGTCTGGATCACCACAATCTTCAATTTTCGGAACTGGAAAATAAAGATTCAAAGCAGAAATATAACATTAATCGCAAATCGAAAACAATTCTTAATTCAAAATTGTCAGAGAGAAGAAAATATTGCATCAAGATTAGAAAAATATTAATTAAAATTTCCAATCAATTTATGAGCAACCAGATATTTCCTAAAATATTTTATTCTAATAAAATTCGTCGAAATTATTTGCAAAAAAAAATTCATTTAATTATTTTCGAGAATTTAATTATCTTCAAAAAATTAAATTTAAAAACAATAACTTTTTGTTTATAAAACCGATTTTCAATAAAAATTACTCCAAATTTGTTGATTCCCAAAAATATTCAAATTTTTTCAAATAAGGTTTGACGAAATTCCGTTGGAAAATTATTTACAAAAAAATTCATTTAAATATTTTCGAGAATTCAAATATTTTCAAAAAATTATTTTTTTATTCATTTTGACGAGTACGATGATTATAATAATTATAATAAAAGTATTAAAAAATCAATTTCTCTAAAAAGAATTTTCAATAAAACTCTTAAAATTCTAACTCTTTGTAAAATTCATTTTGTATATAATTTTAAATCGAAAATTCACCAAAGAAAACTCGAATTACTAAATTTTAATTTGATCCTCTAAAATATTTAAATCTTTTCAACGGAATTGGAAATTAAATAAAATTTATTTTCAATAAAATTGAAAACTATTGATAAATTAAAATTTAGATTAATATTGAAGTAAATATGTAAGAACAAAAAAAGATGAAGAATTTAATTCTTCAAAAAAAAAAAAATGTTGATACTATTTTTCACAAAAATTGAAATATTTTCAAAAATAATAAAATTTTTCACAAGAATTTGATTATTCTTATAAAATGTATTAGTCAAAAGTATTCAATATTTTTTGTTTAAAAATTTGATACAATTCTTTAAAAGAATTCAATTATTTCTTTAAATAAAAAACTTTTTCAGAAGAACTCAATTAACATGAATTCAATTTCAATTAAATTTATTTATAAAATTCAATTATTTTTAAAGAATTGAATAAAATTTCTTGAAAGAATTCGATTATTTTCATAACTGTTGATAAAAATTTTTAAATAATTTAATTTCTGCGATAAATTATATTTTTTAAGCAAATAATTGAATTTCATCGAAGAATTTCATTACTTATGACAAGAATTGAATTTTTGAGAAAAATGGTTTTAAAATTTTTTTTTAAACAATATAGAGTTTTTGCGAAGAATTTAATTATTTATAAAATTAATTCAATTACCTCAATTGAAAATTGAACTGAAATAATTGAATGCTTGAATTATAATTCAAGCATTCAATTATTTTCAGTACAATTTTAATTAAAATCCTCGAATGAATTAAAATTTCCTTTGAAATAACTGAATTTGTATTTTTATAAATTTTATTATTTTCTTAAATATAATAAAGTTCTTTACAGAAATTCAATTATTTTCAATACAATTTTAATGAAAATTTCTATAAAGACTTTAATTATTTAAAAAAAATTTTGATTCAATTTTTCCTTGAAAATTTAAATATTTTCATAAATAATAAAATTTTTCACAAGAATTCAATTATTCTTAAAAAATTCGGCAAAAGTATTCAACTTTTTTCAATAATTTTGACACAATTCTTTATAAGAATTCAATTATTTTCATAAATAATAAAATTCTACGGAGAAATTCAATTTTAATAAAAACTATTGATAAAATTCAATTAGTTTTAAAAAAAAATTAATAAAATTTCTTGAAAGAATTCGATTATCTTCAAAAAATTTGAGAATAATTTAATTTCTTCAAAGAATTATTTTTTTTATGAAAATAATTGAATTCTTGTGAAAGATTTTATTATTTATGAAAATAATTGAATTTTTGCGAAGAATATTATTATTTATGAAAATAATTGAATTTCTTTGAGAAATTTTAATTTTTTATAAAAACAATTCAATTACTTGAATTGAAAATTGTATTGAAAATAATTGAAGAATTTGTAAAGCATTCAATTATTTACAGTACAATTTTAATTAAATGCCTGGAAACAATTTAAATTTTCTATGAAAAAAAAAATTGAATTTGTATTTCTAACAAATTTTATTATTTTCTTAAATAAAAAAAGTACTTCGCTGTAATTTAATTATTTTCAATACAATTATAATAAAATTCTTGACAAGAATTATTATTTTTTATGAAAATAATTGAATATTTGGGAAAAATTTTATTATTTATGAAAATAATTGAATTCTTGACAAGAATTTTATTATTTATGAAAATAATTGAAATCTTGACAAGAATTCTATTATTTATGAAAATAATTGTATTTTTGCGAAGTTATGAAAATAGTAATAATTTAAATCTAAAAATTCTAAATGTTTATATTTATAATTGAGTTTTTAAATACGTAACTCAATATTATTGCAATAAAATTTTAGTTCGGAGACGAAATAAATAAATTTCGTTCAGTTAGAAACATATTCGGAACATTAGGGACAAGATTTTGTTCCTTTAATTCTGAACGTTTAAATGAACGAAATTAATTTATTTCTTCTTCAAATTAAAATTCTATTACAACAATTTTGCGTCAAGTGTAGAAAAAAATAAATTAGGCAAAGTTTAAATATATGTTAAATTTTTTTCTTTTTTTTTGTTAGATTTTTCTATTGTTACTTTTTGAAAGTATTTCGTTCATTTTGTTACGCTCGAACTAATTTTTACAGAAATGTACAACTTTTACTGCGCAAAAATAGTAAAAATTGACAAAAAATGTAAAATGTGCACAAGTTTCTGCCTAAGTTTCACTTTGAAAATAGTAGAAGTTATTGTAAATACAAATTAAAAAACAAATTGTTTTTGTAAAACAAAGTTTTCTCGTTTTTTTATTCGTTATATTTCGTTTAAATTCAGAGGAGTTTGTATTTCCCAAGTTGATGATAATCCAAATTCTTCAAAATTGATTATCATCAGAAACTATAGAAGAATTGAAATTCCTCCAGTTGATGATCATCCAAATTGTCCAAAATTATCACCAATTAAAGAAATTGTTATTTTTCTCGTTGATGATAAACCAAAGTATCCAAAATTATCTCCCAACTAAAAAATTTGTTATTTCTTTCGTTGATGATAATCCAAACAGAGAAATATCATCAGCTAAGGGAATATCATCAACTACGAGAAAATCATCAGCTAAAAGACTATCATCAGCAAAGGGAACATCATTAAACAGAGGAGCATCAACTAAGAAAAAATCATCAGCCAAAAGACCATCATCAGCAAAAGGAACATCATTAAACCAAAAATCATCAGAACCACGATCCACTATCCAAACAACAACCAAAATACTTTAAAACACGAACACAACATCAATTGAAATTAAAAAAGACCATAAGCTAAATAAGGACCCCAACATTTCCTGTAGTATTTCAAAAACAAAAAAAAAAAATTGAAGAAGTAAATTATCAAGATGAACGAGAGCAGACGGAGCAATCAGATAGCATCTCAAGAAAAGGGCAAAGATGATGGGAATATTACCAGAAAAGGACTTGTAGTTTGTGAACAACTTTGTCCGGCACCATCTCACAAGTCCGGTAGCCATGGGATCCACATGCGTGCTTCAATATACACTCCAAACAATTTTTCCCTCCTCGTCGTCGTTGTCGTTGTTATTATTGTTGTTGTTCTCTCCTTGTTGACGACGACCCTATTGTTGCTCCTCTCCTTTTAGTGTCGTCTACGTGCCGCGATTATCGTACACCCACAATTGTTTACGTGTCCATATTTTTTCCTTTCTTTTTTACTCCTTTTTCCTTTTTTGCTTTCTTTACTTCTTTTTGCCTTTTTTACTCCTTTTGGCTTTTTTACTCCTTTTTGCTTTCTTTACTTCTTTTTGCCTTCTTTACTCCTTTTTGCTTTCTTTACTTTTTGCCTTTTTTACCCCTTTTTGCTTTTTTGCTTTTTTGCTCCTTTTGGCTTTTTTTTTACTCCTTTTTGCCTTTTTTTGCGACTTTTCGCCTTTTTTACTCCTTTTTCCTCTATTTCCACTTGTTTTTGCTTCTTTTTACTTGTTTTTGCTTTCTTTTACTTTTTTCTTGCTTCTTTTTTTGTTGCACCTTTTTCTTCAACTATTTTCGTTATCCTTTTTCAATTCTTTTTTCCTCGAGGGGCCTTTTTTCTCCTCTTTAATCTTCAACTCCCTTTTATCTTGTTATATCTTCCGGTCCCTTTTTCGTTTTGCCTTTGCTTCTTTTTATCGCTCTTAATAACCTTTCCTCTTTCTTGTCTTCCTCCTTTGATCTTTCTAGCTTATTTAACTATACACTCCTTTCTCTTTAGGCCTCCAAAAGTTTTCTCTCTCTCTCTTTCACTGACACAAACACTATCTCCTAACTCTCTTTTTCTCTCTCCTCTTGCTTTTGAAATTCCACTATTTTCTAACGTCGTTGTTTGGCAGTCGTCATCACTTCACTTCTGAACTTGGGGGATCATCAACACCACTCACACCTTCAGTTGGAAAACACTCACTTTAACGCGAGAGAGAAAAAAAAGAGAGAAAGAGAGAAAAAAAAATTCAAAGAGAGGCAGCAGGATGAAAATAAGTATCCTTGACACGTAGAGGCAATATTGGAATTATAATCAGCACGTGGGTTTTTATTTTTATTATTTTTTCGCGAAAACTAATTTTCCGATTCATTTAATAATTCTTTTTTTCCAAATTCAAAATCTAAACCGAATTAAACTAAACCGATCACACTTTTTTTTTTCTTGGTTCTTTATTTTTTCCGGGATTTTTTATAAAACGAGGACTCGTGAATGTCTCGAGACCATGACGTTACTACAACTACAGTCGTTGTTTGACTACGGCGATCGTCCTCGCGTGAACCACGTTCCCCGTAATTCCTCCTCTCCGACGACGGGGCTTTCTCCCCACTCTCGAGAAATTTCTGTTCATCTCTCTCGCTCGCTCGACTCGCTCTCCTCAGGGACGTAGGGAGGTCACTTGGAGCCCTATTTCTAGAGTCAAACAACAGTCGCGAGTCGCCGGCAACAGTTCACTAGCAAGTTCAGAAGACTCGGCTGTGTAAGGAGGAAGCACCACAAGTTTTGCCTCTTTAGATCCAAAGAGAGAGAGAGAGAGAGAGAGAGAGAGAAAACTCTCTCTCTCAACACCCAGTGACAGAATATTTCACACGTTGATAAGAAGCCATTCATAAAGCCGATGCGAAAAACTTGCAGGGAATCTTGGAAAAAGTATACAATTATAAATGGGGGAGTAACTGATACGGATTACGTTTCCACAACTCGAACAATAATATTGTATACGTAATTCGAAAATAGAACCTGCGAAAAAAAGAAAAATATCAGAAAAAATAATTTCTAATAATTTTTAATGGTTTTTCATTTAAGAATTAAATTTCTGCTAAATTGATGCTGAATTAAAATTCAATTAGATTTCTTTACAATAAAAAGATTATTAATTAACAGTTTTGTCAATTGAAAATTCTGTCATCTGTGAAACAAAACTTCGTTGATATCAACAAATTTTTATTGAAGAGAATTTCCAATTTTTTTAAAATTTTTAAAAAGAATTCAATTAATTTCTAAAATTTTAATAAATTCTTCCAAACAAATCAATTATTTTCTAAAAAAATATAAATTCTTCGAAAAAATTCAATTCTTTTCAAAAATAATAAAATTTTTCACAAGAACTCAATTATTTTTATAAAAAATATAATTTTTTGCAGAAATTCAATTATTTTCATAAATAATAAAATTCTTTCCAAAATTCAATTATTTTTATAAAAAATATAATTCTTTGCAGAAATTCAATTATTTTCATAAATAATAAAATTCTTCGCAAAAATTCAATTATTTTCTAAAATAATATAAATTCTTCAAAAAAATTCAATTCTTTTCAAAAATAATAAAATTTTTCACAAGAATTCAATTATTTTCAATAAAAAATATAATTTTTTGCAGAAATTCAATTATTTTCATAAATAATAAAATTCTTCTCAAAATTCAATTATTTTCATAAAAAATACAATTCTTTGCAGAAATTCAATTCTTTTCATAAATAATAAAATTCTTCGCAAAAATTCAATTATTTTCTAAAAAAATAATTTTTTATTTTATCAAAAAATATAAATTCTTCGAAAAAATTCAATTTTTTTCAAAAATAATAAAATTTTTCACATGAATTTAATTATTTTCATAAATAATAGAATTGTTCACAAGAATTCAATTATTTTTATACAATTTCAATTAAATACGTCAAAAACTTCTTTTCATTTATAATTTTTTTTATAAAATTCGTCAAAAGAATTTAATAACTTAATAAAATTTTCGATACAATTCTTTATAAGAATTCAATTATTTTCATAAATAATAAAATTCTTTAGAAGAATTAATTTATCTTCATAAAAAATGTAATTTTTTTTATAAAATTTCTCAAAAAAAATTCCACTATTTAAAAAAATTTTCATACAATTCTTTATGAGTATTCAATTATTTTCATAAATAATAAAATTCTCCGGAAGAATTTAGTTATTTTGAATTTAATTTCAATAAAATTTCTTGATAAAATTTCATAATTTTTAAAAAATTTAATAAAATTTTTTGAAGGAATTCGTTTATTTTAAAAAATTTTAAATAAATTTTAAAATAATTGAATTTCTGCAAAGAATGATATTTTTTATGGTAATAATTGAATTTATAAAAATATTTGAATTCTTCCAGAATTTCTTCAATTAAAATAATTGAATCCAAGTGAAGAATTTTTTTTTTTTTTTTAATATAATTGAATTTTGGTGAAGAATTTTCTTATTTTCTGGAAATAATTGAATTCCTGGAATAATTGTATTATTTAAAAAAAATTAAATCATTGTGAAAAAATTTATTATTTTTAAAAAGAATTGAATTTTCGTAAAGAATTTTCTTATTCTCTTTGGAATTAATTGAATTACTAGAAAAATTGTATTATTTAAAAAATAATTGAATCTTTGTAAAGAATTTTATTATTTTCGAAAATAATTGAATTTTGGTGAAAAATTTTATTATTTTCTGGAAATAATTGAATTCCTAGAAAAATTGTATTATTTAAAAAAAAATTGAATCCTTGTAAAGAAATTTATTATTTTCAAAAATAATTGAATTTTTGTGAAGAATATTGAATTCCTGTGAGAAATTTTATTAGATAGGTATTTAAAAAATAATTGAATCTTTTGTGAAGAATTTTATTATATTGAATTCGTCTTAAGAAATTTGTTGAAATTGAATTGAAAATAATAATTGAATCCTTGCGAAGATTTTGATTAAAATTCTATTTAAAACAATTGAATTCTTTCAAGAAATTTTATTTAAATTACTTTTAAATTAATTGAATTCTTGCAAAAAAATGTATTATTTTGTTAAAATAATTGAATCCATCTAAAGAATTTGATTATTTCTAAAAAATATAATTGAATTCCTGCTAAGAATTTTATTATTTAGGAAAAGAATTAAAATTTAGAGACAAATTTTTGAAAATAATTAAATACCTGCGAAAAATTTTATTTATAAAAATAATTTGAAATTGGTCGAAAATTTTATGAAACTTTTTGAAATTCTTACGTAGAATTGAATATTATTTATGTCAATAATTGAATTCTATGGAAAATTTTATTAAAATTATATTGAAGGTAATTGAATTTCATCGTAGAATTTTATTATGTATGACAAGAATTAAATTTAAAAAAATTATTATTATTATTTTTATTTAATAAAATTTTTGAAAATAATTGATTTTTTGCGAAAATTTTAATTATTTATAAAAAGAATTGAATTCTTATAAAGCAATTTATCAAAATTTTGATTATTAATTTCTATAAAAATTATTTCAAATAATAACTGAAAATAATGAATAATAATCGAAATTATCAAAATTCCTATTAAAAAAATTTTTTTTCAACAAATAGAATAAAATAATTAAATACAAATCAATTATAATTTGATATAAAACAAAAATTGAAAATGAATCGAATAAAATAATTTAATCCAAATCATTTAGTAAAATTACTAAAATTGTTATCTATAAAAGATTGAAATAGAAAGGAATTTTTGATTTTCTCCTATCGCTGGTTTTTTTTAAATGCAACAAAAGAGGAATAATTACGTGAAAGAAAATGACTTTTCTATAGAGTATTTGGTTTTTATCTACGCTTTTAAAATAGCAACCCCTACACATTTTGAATAAGAATGAAGCTCTAGTAAAGTTTATCGATTCCTAGTATTACAACATTACAGTGTTTATACCACATGAAATGTTTCAACCCCCCCGGAAATTATATTCTGCCTGGATAAATCAATAAATATTCATAGAGCATATAATATCCATATGGGGGGTGAACACATTCACGATAGTATTTTAATGCCGTTCTATTGAAATCCAATCTATACATACCGACAATTTTTTAACAAAGTGAATTTCTAATTTCATAGAATTGCAAATTTTTCACCTCTATAACCAAAGTTAATTCTTTTTCAAAACATATGAAAATAAAAACCAATTCTATCGAAATCTATCGAAATCTATCAAAATCTATCAAAATCTATCGAAATCAAACATTAATTTGATATGAAATCAATCAAAATCAAAAGCAAATTCTATTAAAATTCTATTAAAAATAAAATTAATTTTATAGAAAACTATCAAAATAAAAAGCTAATTCTATCAAAATCTATAAACAATTTTCAAGAATTAAATTCTGTTTCTGGAAATTAAAATTCGATTAGATTTCTTTTAAATAAAAAGATCGGTAATTAAAAATTTTTTCAATTGAAAATTCTGTGAATAAAACTTCGTTGAGTATGCAGATCAACAAATTTTTACTGAACAGAATTTTCAAATAATTTTTTTTCTAATTTCTCCGAAGAATTCAATTATTTTCTAAAATTTTTAAAAATTCTTTCAAACAATTCAATTATTTTAATAAATAATAAAATTCTTCGCAAATAATTAATAAATTCCAATAGGGGAATGTAGTCAAGGTTGGCCTACTGTCTAGGTAGGCCACTCGCGTTTTTTTGTCAAGTTCACTAGCGCCACCCACGCGCATTTTTGTCGAAGCTTGTCTTAGTGAAACCTAACTTTTTGTTCAATTACATTTTCGGAAAATCGAAAATTGTGTTTTCTGTGACGTCGGTACAAAAAAAGCTCAAAAAAAGTTTTGTGCATAATGTGAAAAACCATTAATAAAAGATAAAAAACAAATTGAATCGTCAAGGCAAGTATGCAGAAAATTTGTGGGACTCATGGTTGAAAGGAAAACAAAGTAAAAAATCGAATCCCGAAACGTATTTCTTTATGGTTACAACAATTCGGTAATGTTACTTACTGTCAAGGTCGGCCACTATGTGTTTAAAATGCGCAAAGTTGAGGACGAGCTACTTCATTTGCAAAAACTGCAATTCTGTATAACTCATAATATAATTGATCATCTTATTAATATTTTTATTTAATTTTATTAATATTTTAGTGCAAAACTTTTTTTTATTTATATTTATTTTTTTATATTGTTTATTGTTATTATTTTGTTATTTCATTAAGTTACAAACTGTAAACAATAAAGAATCAATTTTCCGTAACTCCAAACATGTTATTTTATTTTTTAACGATTAATGCCCTTTGAATTTTAAACATGGCCGACCTTGACTGTAATGGCCAACCTGGACTACAAATTTTTTTTTTTTTTAATCTTTATAACTTTTTCATTTTTAAACCTGTCAATTTACTTTGTACAGAAAAAATGTTCCTATTAAACAGGACTTTCCAACCATATACTTCAATTGTCCAAATTCATTTTTAAAAAAAAGTTATAAACAAAAGTCAAAAAGGTGGCCGACCTAGACTATGTTCCCCTACAATTTAAATTAAATTCCTCAAAAGAATTCAATTATTATTTTAACAAATTATTATAAATATCGTCAAAAATTTTGATACAATTCTTTATAAGAATTCAATTATTTTGATAAATAATAAAATTCTTTTCCTGAATTCAATTATTTTTGTAAATAGTAAAATTCTTCGCAGAAATTAAATTTTTTTTAATACAAATTTAATTAAATTGGTAAAAAAAAAATTGCAATGATTAAATGATTTTCAAAAATAGTAAAATTATTCGCAAGAATTAAATTATTTTTGTAAATAATAAAAGTCAATTTTATTTATTTGAATTCAAATTTAATAGAATTTTTTGAAAGAATAAATTAGTTTTAAAATTTTTACTAATGGAAAATAAATTATTTTCAATTAAATTTCAAATTAAATTCTTCGAAAGAATTTAATTTAGTTTCAAAAAGTT